AAACAAAAAATTAAAGGTCAGTATTTGAAATTTCATATACATGTATTATTTCAAAGTACTACGTTAAAATTACAGGTTTATGTTACTTTAGATTTTTTTCATTGTATGTAATAACTTCTTTTATTTAATGAAGTTTGTATCATGAAAAAGAAATTAAACAACGAGAATTTAAACTGTATTATTCTTATGGTACAGGAAAATAATTTTAAATATTAGTATACTACGATTAATAATATGCAAATTTTTAAATATTACTTTGTCTAACTTTCATGTGAAGGTAATGCAAAGGGAAAAAATGTAGAATAAAGTTACTGAAAGTAAAAAATATTTACCTTCACTATTTTTTACATTATTCTCTTTCAAAAAACATTAATATTACAAGTTATCCCAAAATTTTGTACGGTACTATATATTTAAATGTTCAAAGATGAATCAAGAAAAAGTAGCAGAAGAGTAATGAAGTTTAATAATATTTGTACGTTGTCTTTATCTTTACAAAGCCAATGATGAAAAGTATAATTTCTTGCTTAACTACTGTTGGAAATTAATGGCTGTTGTTATTAGTAATTGCAAGATACCCTGTGTGCTATAGACTTTTACACAAAAGCGTTTCAAAAATTAACTTTCATCGGGTGAATTGAAATCTTTTCCTACATATAGAAGGGTGTAGTTCCTAGTGCAAAAGTAAACTGTAAGGTAGTTCTGTCAAATATAGGAATTAGCAGAAATAAAACTAGCCAATAGCGGCTAGACGTGCGAGTCACATGGTCCTCAAGCGTCCATATATAAAACGACTATTCACTTGAAATTAACTTTACTAATGTGATTATTGTTTTCAATTTGTTATACATATTTGAACATCCTCCTTAAATACTATTCTTTAAATAAATTCTGTAACTATTGATTCATAAATATTAACCTTTTCCTACAATACTATACAACCTTATTTAAATTAATAAAATTCATTAGATCCTATTAATAACCCCTTTTAAATAAATTAAATTCTCCTTAAATTACCTTCATTAAATACATTCTCTATAAATTTAAACTGAACACCCTCGAATTCAATTTGCTTTTAAATTAATTCAATTAATAAAGAACCAACCTCTTCTCAGATGAACTACATATTACAACTAACTTGTATACGTAATTATATATTAAATTATAATATATACTTCTCTACTGTTTTTACCTAAATGGCCAATGGTAAGTAGCTAAACACGGTTCAGGCCCTTTACACTTGGTACATCCAGGCGCGCAACGTAAGCAGCGGAACACCTTTGCGTAAGCATCGCTTACATTTTCTTGCATCTCTCTCCAAGCGGCTGAAAATATTACCCTCTTTACAAATTCAAGTTTGATACGATAACATGTTTGATAGACGAAACTTTCACCAACCTTCAACGAGAATTCCATCAAAACCAGACCGATGTTGACTTGGACTATAAAAGCCTTTCCGACATTTGCAGACATACGCGCCCTTTGTCCACCTACTACCGACGCCAACATTATTTGCACTCTGATATTCACACTGAAAACCACACCAAATTTTATCATTTTATCAGGATAATCCTTTCAGAAATAATTTAAGCTAAGGTGTTACTAAAAATTCTAAAAACCTAGATGCCGAATTTGTTTAAAATTGTAGCAGAATAATGTTTCAGTTCTTTAAAAACTGGAATGGCAAGATCGAAAAATCGAGGCGACTGTGTTTTATAGTGTATTGTTATGGCACAGTTTAAAAGTGTCTGAATTATTGTTAGTTGTACATTTAAATTATTTCTACTAAGACTTAAAATCCATGATTGTAAAACATACATCTCAGTGGAGGGTAAAACAAATTTTACTGAGTTCATTTTGAATATAATTTTAAAGTTATAGTAATATTTTAAAATACTAACGCCTGCTTTTCATACTGTGGCATTATAGTTAATATAAAAAGAACATTAATAACTTTTTATATGTGTTATTATAAGAACATTAATAACTCATAATAACATGACCTTGAAACTACCCCCAGAACACTGGAAACATTGATATTGTGGTCTGATATAAATAAGAAATGTCATAATTTAACAGTTTTGTGTAATTTAATAAGAAAATCAACCTAGTAACAATAATAAAACGACTAACGTGTGATAAACGAATATAATTGTCAATTAATTTTAGTTACGAATTGAATAATTATATTGTATTGATCAAGATAATTTTAATACACACTTTGAGTATTAACAAATTCTTCGTAGTCATTTTCTTCTACTTTTATAATAGCGGAAATCATTAAAATACTTAATTTAATGGGCGGTTTTGGTCTTAGCTTCAAAAAATCAATTTTTTGCATTATTTACTTCGTTAAAATTTTGAAAATTAGAAAATTTACGGACACTCTAGTGATCACTGCCAGTACTTGGACTTATCGTCATGTAAAACTTTAAATTCGTTTTTCTCAAAACACTGTTTTTCAAACTAGTAGAAAAAATATCTTAAAAATTAATCAACCGATTTGAATGATTTTGTTTTAAGTTAAAGAATATACTTTACCCCAGATATTGTAGTTTAAATATCTTGAGAATGACCATATTTAATCATTTTTAAATCAGATAAAATGTTAAATAAATAACAAAAAATAAAATGTTTACCTTTAAAATGTCAGAAAACTTTTTTTTAATGTTTTTAGGTTTAATTCCCTGGGCATTTCATACACTTTAAGAGTATGAATATTGTTGTCTTTTATCTCAGATTTTTAATCGAGGAGCTACAAGTTCCACCGTTTTAAATGAATTTTGTGAGGTTCGTGACGGAAAGTAGCAGGGATGCTTGAAATATTTGATTATGATATAATATTAAATACTTCTTTGGTAACAGTAGCACAAGTGGACTACCTCAGCTATTGTTATAAGATTGAAATTGTAGGTAGAAATGTATATTTTGAACAACTTTTTCCCTTGACAAAACTGTTGCTCTCATTTAGTTTCTGTGAGTATCATGAAAAACTTTTGCTACTATCACACAGGGTGGGTCACGAAGCGTGACCAGTTTAGATTATCCTGCTGCTAATAGTTCGATCGGCAATTGTGTTAGCTAAAATAACATGGTTGAAGGAAAGCTTTTCAATGATTGTACCCATTTTCACCAGAATTATCAAAGTCACCTTCAGTATACGCAGATCGCGGAACACTGCTAACAGTTCAAGTTCGATACCATTAAATGTAACCCCAGGTATAGAAGGAAATGTTTACAAACTGTAAAATCTTGCAAAACTCTTCCAACTAAGAGTTTCCTTCAGTCTCCTTAGATTCAGAAAAAAAAGTTTGTTATGATGCTTGTCGGATTCGTCTCACTATTGCTCAAAAGATAGGTGTAAAAAAATTGTAGATTTAAGAAAAAAGAGTCGACAAAAAATTTGATAGAATCATCTTAATTCACCCTGAAAGGAATTCTATATACGTAAGCGTCCCTTGTGAGAGACCCATGAACATAGCTGCACGTTCGACGTTTTGGTCTTCGACATTCTGAAATTTTACTTAAATACTCTCCTCCACAAAAGTTCCAGGCCAAGAATTATAAAATAAAAACCCTGATAGGCGGAAAAGCTCAGCACTCCCAACTCGTCAAAAAACTAGTCACACTCATACCAGACTTTGTTATCTATTATAAAACTAATTTCTATGTGTAGAACGCACGAAACTACTAGAGCTTTTATTGGAGAAAATACAGGGGGCCCGCCAAGTCTGTGCCAACTGTTCACAAGCTAAAACTACATGGGGCTAAGGGGAATCCGTTTGCGCGCTCCACCTCGGTTCTTCTAGGAAACATAGTATACCTAACACCTGAGTTACACAGTAGATTGGTTCCCGGAAAATACCGTGTAAATTGAAATAGTGCAATTTGAGTTCACAATTCACATTGAAAAGAAATACACATGTAAAAAAATTTATTTATTTAAGTAAAAATTCATTAATCCAACAAGATTGTATATGTAATTCAGAAAATAAACAAAAAATTGATGTAATTTTTAAAGTGAAATGCAAGTGCTGTGTAAGTGGAAGTTCTTCCGCTCTTCTTCAACTGTGTTAACCTGTGTTAACTGTGGAATTTAGTTTGAAAAATCTCTCGTTTTGCGCGCAATAAAATCAAAAAATGAAATATGTGCTCGTCAGATACAGGACAAATGCGTCAAGGATATATTTTAATGAAGAACCAAAACAAAACAAAGAAGAGTTACATGTTTATCTGAAAAAGTAAAAAATTCTTTGCTGAAAGAATTAGTACTATTTCAAGTTTTAAGGTAACATGTATACTCGTCAAACGCAGTTAACTACTTAAACTGAAATCGTGCAATTCGAATGCCGTGTAAATTGAAGGCTAAATGTAGTTGGCCCTCCATGTCCTCAAGAGTCCATAAACATAAGCTGCAAAAGCGAAATACGACGCCAATGTTCGTTACATCTCGCTCCGTTGCAGTCTTTTCCGTCTACTTTCTTTGTCACGCGGCTCGGCCAATAACAACAATGTATCACACCTGAGGCGTCACTTTTGATCTACAGTTATTGATGCAGTATCCTGAATGAAAGAGTTCCTTTGCTCTTGTAGCTTTTTAACTTGTGGATAGTGGATACAGGGGCAAAGGGACTTTTTCACTCAGGATGCTTGCATCAATAGCTATAGAACAACAATAACCTGTGTGGTGTGACACAGTATTGTTATTAGCCGAGTCGCGTCACAAAGAAAACTAACAGAACGGAATACGACAGAGGAAGCTGCAACAAACATTGGCATCGAATTTTGTTTTGACGACCTCTTATATTTATGAAATATTGGGAACACAGGGATTGATTACTATGTTTCCTGGAAGAACCAAGATGGAGCTTGTGGCCGAGTCTCCTTGCCCGTGTGCTCGCTTAGCTTGTGGGTAGTGAGACAATTCTCGATCTGTGGACAGTAAATATGTGTAACTCGAAAACAACGATGGATCATGATGTAAGCCACTACTTAACACTAAAACTACCGAGCAATTAAATTAACTTTTTGGAATTCCTGTATAAAAACTCCAAGAATGCATTTATTGAAACTTTACTTAATTTACAATTTAGTTGGGGTATTGATACATCAAATTCTTTAATAATTTCTCAGAAAATCATCTGATCTTTTTAATCATTGCAAAAAGAAGAAATCAGGAGTGGGTCACTTTGACCTATTTGGCAGTTTTAGTGTTAAAAACTAAAAAGCGACAGTTTTCGCAGAGAAAGAAATTGTTCAAAAATTGCATTTCTACCAAAATTTCTTATGAAATTAGGCGAGGTTGTCCACTTTCGCTACCTTTAACTAACTAAAAAGCCATATATTATATATAATATCGGATACGTGCATTAATAGGATCTTTTTTAATAAATTCCATTTTTGGTCTATAGCAATTACCTGCGTTGTATCGTTGTGACACTTGTGAGTACCCTTAAACGATGCTATTTGATTGTTGAGAATCTCATTTTCATTTTGATGTGATGATCCTTCACATTGGTTCACCTCTAGCCCGCTTATATCAATGTCCACGCTTAAGAATTCTCGAACCCTTAAAAAGTCAATTTCAGCGAAAAATATTATTCTATAATTACCAGGTATGAAAATTGATATTGATATTTCATTACATTATACCAATCATTGAAAAGCGGAATAAAAAAATTATCGAACTTATAGTCAAGAACTTAAGAAATAGATGTAAAAGATATAAATTTTCATGTTTGATTTACTGTGAACATTTCTATAGAGAACACATACACATTCTTTTTAATTTTATGATACCTTCCTAATCTTCAAGTTAAGAACAGTTTTAAAAATTTACGAGGTTATAATATAATGAATAACATTTATTTTATTTAATATCAACGAAATTATTCAGATTTTTTAAGTCAGTAAGTCAGATTTTTCCAAATGAAAGGTTGAGAAAAGTTATACAAGCCAAGGCACACAATTGATCTAGATTACATTTCTAATTTAGATCAAAAGTGCAAAAAATCGAACAAAGAACTGTTAAATGTTGTAAGAAGGTTTACTTTCCTATTTCATTTTCATCATAAGAAGAAGGATGCTCACAAAGAAGGTAAATCCACTTTTACCTTAAAAAAGTTTCTTTTCTACACCCTCTTGTTTCAGAAATATTGCAAAAAATATACTTTCAACCCCAAAATTTGAGAGTTGTTTTCACTCCTTCAAAGTGGATGTTGAAAAAATACGTGTCAAATTTTTGTTGAGAACTAATGTCTCACATGAGTTTCATAAAAATCGGCATGTGCGAGTTGAAGATAAAAATACGTACGTACTTCTTTATCTAAAGTTATTGATAAATCATGGTATATCATATCTAATCAACTTCCAGATCAAAACAAATTTCATTATTTTTTTTATAAGGTAAATCAATTTGTTATTCTGTTTTGGAAGATACGCAAGTACTATATTTTTGTCATCATACCTTTTATTATAACCGTCGAAATTTTATTTCACTGATGCTCTAATACTTTGAAATTTCGACAAGAAATCAAACTAGTACATTTAATTTAATCAGCCATACACAACTAAGGAAGACGCAATACAATCACATCCATAGATAATTATCTGCATAATTTAAAGTAGTTGTCAATGAACCAATGAGGTGGACGCAACTTAAAATATACAATAAAAAAAACTAAACTTTAAAGATTAAATATAAAGGTCACTAGAATTGTTAATATAAGATAATACTAAATGATTTTTACGAACCCATGTCGAGCGTCCAGCGGAAGGATATTAACGCTGTAGGAGATCAACCAGCGATGACTTTTGCAAGAGAAATACGGGATGGTCCACCAACCCCTGTAGGATTCAATCGGCGGTGACTGCATGAATTTCGGTGACCTGAGATAACACGCAAACGCCACAAACCGCCATAGAAACTTCGACCTTTTGGTGCACACGCGGTTCGTGCAACAACCCCATTAATATAAGTTGCTTCTCCTTTAATTTCGTGGTCCTGTGGCACTTCACGGTCATCCGATAGACAAAGATTAATCGAATTTCGACCGCATTTTCAATTATCGTCTGAATGCATCAGTATTCCAGGATTTATAATATTTTACGTATGATAATGGAAATGAATAACAATATAATACCTATTACATTTAATCGGAATAATTAAATTATGCATGTATTCATTTCACAATAATTTGCAATTAATTCGAAGGTAATACCAGACAGGTCAGTATAATTTCGTTGAAAATAATGAGACAGTAACGAATATAATCAAAAATAATTGGATGATTTAATTAAATATATAGTAAAGTTATAAAAATGATATTGATATATCTGAGCAAAAACTTTAATGTAGACATTAGAGTAGTTATTACGAAAATAATAAAAACTTCTGTAACTGTTTAGAAAAAGGGCAAAAATATCTACATATTTATAAAGTAACACATTATTCTCTGTATTTATTTAATGAAATAGAAAGTATATCGAAAATAATATTAAATAGAAAGTATAGTAAGAATATCCATAAAGATAATAGTTTTATTTGAAAAAAAATATATATTATATATATATATAT